GTCGAATGCGCCTCGGAAATCCAGGAATACTAGAATCGTGGGTCGCTTATACATATGGTGTTGTTCTAGCACCTGACGCAGTGTGAAGATTTGGTCAACACAACCCCTACCAGGCTGGAATCCCGCTTGCTGCTCTCGAGTCAGTGTCTCACGAGTCACCGTAAGGCGACGAAGCACAATTGACGCCAACAGTCTCGTTACAACCGGGGTCAAGCTGATCCCCCTGTGGTTACCATAGTCATTACGCGCCCGTTTTTTGAAAATGGGCACTATCACCGATTCTCCCCAGTTGTCTGGGACAGACTTCTTTTCCCAAATGCAAGCAAACAGATCGGACAAGCGCTGACTGAGGATTTCACCCCGTCTTTGAACAGTGCGGATGGAAGGTCATCCGGACCGGGAGCTAGGTGGCGCTTGAGGGAACATATGCAGTCGTAAACCTCCGAGGCCGTAGGTGGTTCCACGTTCACCGTCCAGGGTTCTACTTCACCTGTGGGCTCTAGATGGGTGCCGGCTGGTGGCCATGACAGTTGTTGTTCGAAGTATTCAGCCCACCGGTCAAGGCGTTCCTCCTTATTCGAGACGGTCGTTCCATTCTGATGTTTGATGGTTTTGCTCACAGGTGGTTTCCGGGGGTCGGTCAACTGAAATAATCTTCGGGCATTACCGGCATTCTGGGCCTCTTTCATTTCTTTGACTTTCTGTGTCCACCATACTTCACGGTTGGATCGCAAGCTCATTTTCACTTGGCGTCTGATAGCTCTTCGCACCGGGTTATGTTCGGGATTGTGACTGTCGACAATATCGGTTTGCAAGTGAAGAATCGATTGCGAACCTGGTACGAAGTGACAATTCAATAGGAGCTTTAGATGGTAGGCTAGCAAGTTCATTCGTTCAAAAATTATCATCCGTAACGTGTGGATGTAAGATTTTCGTCTTAAACATCCAGTTCCACATTGACCTACCCACACACACACAGGAGATCGCCATTGAGGAAAGACCCCGAACAGTCTTCACCATAGGGAGTCTTCTAACTGGCATCCCTGCACGAGGAAGTAAGCCGTCCGGAGCCGAAGATCTGATATTTTCTGGAATCCTAAGAGGCCGGTTCTGTTTTGAGCGCAGAACGCAAGAGGTCAGTTCACTTCGGAATGGGGGACATCAAACAGGGACCACCAAACGGCAGTATCCTAAAAATGGTCACTGACCTACGTTGAGCAGTTGTAATCCCATCAGTGTGTACTCCTTCGTCGGAATTGATTTATTCCACCCGACTGCGTACCCTGAATGTACAGTAAGAATTCTAAAAACTAAGACTCCGATACACTATGAGGCAACCCATAATAAAGGAAAATTTGACGGTTCCAAGTAAATTATTATTGTTCGGTTCGAAAAAAATCGCTCAGCTGTAGCAACCTTTCGGTGCCTAACTGCCACGCCACCTGAAGGAAGTACGAGGGCTGGGATACTGTCAGGTTACCCAAGTCTAGACAGGGGAAGTGGAGAGGCAAAGATCGGGTTCGAACCACGGACTTCCCTGTCAGTAAATTCGCGCCAGAACCACTGAGCCATTAATTGGAACACAGCAAATGTATCAGAGCATCTTATCGTGTGATTATTTTCCAAAAGCGGACTCCTCGACTCAAATACTTCTAGTTCAAAATGAATTCGAGGACGAACTGATGACCAGTCGACGGGTTAGAGGGGCGAGATGGTCCAGGGGGTTGGAGCGAGAGTTTACTGACCGGAAGGTCCATGGTTTGAATCCGACCTCTACATCTTGACTTCCCCTGTCTAGAGTTGGGCAACCTGGAAACAGCTCAGCACTCGTGCTTCCTTTGGGTGGTATGGCAGCTAGGCACCGAAAGGGTGCTACAACTGAACGATTATTAATCGACAGCTTAACTTCGTAATACCAGAATTGGTGCTGTCGCAGGTTCGCGAGGCCCCTGGATATGTAACGGCTTCACTCGAGACAAAGCAAAATATTCCAGTGGATACTCATAGAAGGTGAAAAGATGGGTAAACAACGGTTCCCACTGTGTTTGAATAACCGAACCCAGTTCACTGGTAAGCGGATGTGTACTCAATGTACTTAGCCAACACTGTCGATGGAAAACAATGGATGAACGGGATGAACGCTCCGTACTCGTAAGTGAATGCAGTCCATAACTATTCAATAAAAGCGGCGGATGTGACGTGCGGGTGTTGATATCTTTTGGGGTGTGGTGTTCCAGTGGTCCTACTGATGAAGACGGTAGCTGCCAACGTGACCAGATTTGTGGGTCAAGGAATCCCTTCTTAAATGACGGGTTTTGTCCGATACCACATGATGCGATTCCATTCAGCACACGTCCAGACGAGGACTCTGTGGGGTGCGCGGTCGTACAGTGTACGAAGATACTTGTGCACGCCTCGTCCTTCGAAACGGATCAGTTTTACCGGGTCCAATTTCGCACCAGACTACAGCGACTCTCCGACAGGCATCAGTGGTTAAACATCGAAAGCTTCCGCATACATTCTACTCGTAGCACCACTCATAGCCTTGTACGCCTTGAACTTGACAATCCAGCCATAAATATGTCCAGTGTCAAAAGTTGGGTAGTACTATTGATTCACAAGTATACCTGTTGTATACTTGCTCCGTTTTTCAAACGTTTAATCATTTATTGCTAAATCACTTTCTTCCGTTTTCACCTCTCAGTGTCAAAGTTTTGGACGAATAAAGCCTAGCTTTCGGGCCCTCCGTCTTTTCCATTGCCATTCTGATTGTCGTTGCACTCTGACCCTCGTCGTACACAACAATTTATTCATCCAAAA